GAGGGAGGGAGGGAGGGAGGGAGGGAGGGAGCGCGCGTGAGCAAGCATGCTCACATGGAAAAGCATGCTCACATAGAAAATGGGGAAACAATTTTCACTGATTCCTCCTTTCCTCTGGCAACCTCCTGGAAAGCTGCTTTAGGGGTTAACAGATCCCTCATAACAGTACAAAAAGGTAACACCGAGGGGGGGGGTCAGTGTTACAGGGGGAAACTGGTAAAATCCACTCCCTGCTTACTTGCACCAATTTGTGCCTACATTGAATCATGGTGCCTTCAATAAATGGCAAGAGTCCTTCTGTTTAAGGAAGGGTCACTGGTTCTACTCCTACATCATCAGTTTTTCCAGATGTAGGCAGAAATAGCAAGCTGCTTGTTGGGATATCAGAAGTGCGGATGTTACCATTTCCATTTCTGCTCCTCTTCTTTTTTTGTTTTCTTCTTCTTCATATCCCCGTCAGGTTTCTTATCTTTGCTCTTAATTTTTTTGGGTTTGCTGTCCTGTAAAGGGATAAGAGGGAGATAAGATGTGTTATACAAGTTACTCCTCCATTTAAAATGAATAAATCATGGGAGAGCCATTTTAAATGTGATTCACACAGAAAAGGTACTCAGTTTGAATCAAAGTACTTCATCAATTATCTATCTGTAGGGATTAGTTCAGGTCTACTCATAATCAATTAGCATGTAGAGTCTATCTCTATAGTAGAGCCTATTTTATATAAGACAAAATAGATCTGCATATATTCATACACTGAATGACAGTGGTATCCCAATATTTTCATTTATTTCTTAATACACTGATTATGTGGCATCAGGCAAATGTCTTTTGGAAAGGCACATCATAAACACGGCATCACAACTCAGAAGGCCTTCTCTCTTACAGCTAGCTGGTGGGAGGAACTGGAAAAGAACCACTGAGGGTGACCTAAAGGTCTAAACTGGTTCAGACACTGTTAAGCTATTCTTTTGGACACTCTAGTTCTAAACTGAATAAGGATTTACAGTCTGACACAAACATTTTAAATTAGGGTTGGAAACAAACTGTAAGCCATCATGGATTCTTTTCAAAGAACACTCTCTCCCTTATTTTTTCTGATCATGAAGGTTATCAGATGGGATCCTCCTGTTGATTTTGTATGGAACTATTGACTAATTGTCCACCCAGAGTACAGCCTTCAGTGTGACAGATTCCTTTCTGTGGAAACCCCTGCCCCTGGAAAGCAGGCAGGCACCCATGTACTGTTTTTAGCGCCTGCTGAAGACATCTTTATTTCAAGAAGCCTTTCTTGATTGATCAGACAGTTGTATAGCTCTTGTGTTTTTTAAAAACTGTTAATAAGTGTGTTTTATTCTTGTTACCTTTTATTATTCATTACTCTGTTTAGATGTGGAATACTATATCAAAGTTGCAAACAAACTCCTCTAAAATGCAACATGTCCAGAAGCTGATCTTGACATACTTTTATCCATTCAGCAGGGCAACAGAAAGGAATTTGGCACACATAAATAAAATTCAAAGAGGCTGTCTCAAATAAACGTATAAAGGCCTGAATGGTATAGTGATTAGAGTGCTGGATTTGGGAGTTGAGGGTTCTAGTCCCTACTCAGGCATGGGCACTATTCTAGACTAGGA